GCAGCCCCGATGATCAGGTTGACCCAGAAGGGTGCCCAGTTCAGATGGTCGGATGAGTGTGAGGCGAGCTTTCAGAATCTCAAGACGGCTCTGACTACGGCACCGGTATTGATTTTTGCCCACACGGCTCAGGGCCTTATACAGTTTATGTGATGCTTCCCGTATTGGGCTTGGTGCAGTATTGATGCAGGATGGCAGAGTCATTGCCTATGCTTCGAGGCAGTTGAAGATCCACGAGAAGAATTATCCGGTTCATGATCTAGAGTTGGCAGCCATTGTTCATGCTTTTAAGATTTGGAGGCATTACCGTGTGAGGTGTACACTGATCACAAGAGTTTTCAGTACTTGTTCAAGCAAAAGGAGTTGAATTTGAGGCAGAGGAGATGGTTGGAGTTATTGAAAGATTATGATGTTGCTATTTTGTATCACCCGGGGAGAGCCAATGTGGTGGCCGATGCATTGAGTAGGAAGTCCGCCAGCATGGGTAGTCTAGCTTATATTCCGGTCAGCCAGAGACCGCTTGCTTTGGTTATTCAGGCCTTGGCCAATCGATTTGTGAGATTGGATATTTCTGAGCCTAGCAGAGTGTTGGCTTGCACGGTCGCTCGTCCCTCATTATTGGAGCGTATCCGTGATCGGCAGTTTGATGATCCCCATTTGTGTGTCCTGAGAGACACGATGCATCATGGAGGTGCCACGAAGGTGACCTTAGATAGCGATGGTGTTTTGAGATTGCAGGGGCGAGTTTGTGTGCCCAATGTCGATGGGATTCGAGAGTTGATCTTAGCGGAGGCCCATAGTTCTCGGTACTCTATTCACTCGGGCGCCGCAAAGATGTATCAGGACTTGCGGCAGCATTATTGGTGGCGTAGGATGAAGAAGGATATTGTTGCATATGTGGCACGATGTTTGAACTGTCAGCAGGTTAAGTACGAGCATCAGAGGCCTGGTGGACTATTTTAGAGGATTGAGCTTCCCGAGTGGAAGTGGGAAAGGATTACCATGAATTTCGTTACCGTACTTCCGTTAACTCGGAAGAAGTTCGATGCGATATGGGTTATTGTTGATAGGCTGACCAAGTCAGCACATTTCATTCCTGTGGCAGTCTCCTATTCATCCGAGAGGTTAGCTGAGATTTATATCCGGGAGATTGTTCGCCTTCATGGTGTGCCGGTATCTATCATTTTGGACCGGGGTACGCAGTTTACCTCGCGCTTCAGGAGAGCAGTTCAGAGGAGTTGGGCACACAGGTTCAATTGAGCACAGCGTTCCACCCTCAGACGGACGGCCACTCCGAGAGGGCTATTCAGATATTGGAGGATATGCTCCGAGCCTGTGTCATTGATTTTGGAGGTTCGTGGGACCAGTTTTTGCCTTTAGCAGAGTTCGCCTACAACAACAGCTATCAGTCCAGCATCTAGATGGATCCATATGAGGCGTTGTATGGTAGGCGATGTCGGTCTCCAGTGGGATGGTTTGAGCTGGGAGAGGCTCGGTTATTGGGTACAGATTTAGTTCAGGAGGCCTTGGATAAGGTCAAGATCATTCAGGACAGGCTTCGTTCGGCTCAGTCGCGGCAAAAGAGTTATGCAGATCGTAAGGTTCAGGATGTAGCTTTCATTGTTGGTGAGCGGGTCTTGCTTCGAGTGTCGACCATGAAGGGCGTGATGAGATTTTGGAAGAAGGGCAAGCTTAGCCCTAGGTTCATTGGTCCCTTTGAGATCCTCGATCGAGTGGGAGAGGTGGCTTATATACTTGCCTTGCCGCCTAGCTTGTCAGCCGTGCATCCAGTGTTTCATGTGTCCATGCTTCGGAGGTATCACGGCGATCCAGCCCACGTGTTAGATTTCAGCACTATCCAGTTGGACCAGGATCTGTCTTATGAGGAGGAGCCGGTAGCTATTCTAGACCGGCAGGTTCGACAGTTGAGGTCGAAGAGTTTTCCTTCAGTGCGAGTTCAGTGGAGAGGTCAGCCTCCTGAGGCATCAACCTGGGAGTCCGAGTCTGATATGCGGAGCCGTTATCCCCATCTATTTCCCGACTCAGGTACTTCTTTCTTTTGTTCGTTCGAGGACGAACAGTTATTTTAGAGGTGGAGAATGTGACGACCCAAAGGGTCATCACCCGTTTTCAATTTCATTCCGTGCTTCCGAGGCCTTGAAAACCTTATTTTTACTTGCCTCAATTTGCGTGCGCAGTCCGGGCGCATAGCCGAAAAGCTTAAATATGAATTATGTGTAAAAATTTATGAATGTTGATATTAATATGATTAAAGTTGACTTTGGTCAACATTTGAGTAAATGGACCCGGACTCGTGATTTGACGGTCCCGGAGGGTCCGTAGGAAAATATGGGACTCGGGCATATGCCCGGAGTCGAATTTCGAGGTCTAGAGCTCGAGAAATGAATTTTTCTGTGAAATTGTTTTTCTAAAATTATTAAGGAAATTGGAAATGAAAATTGATTAAAAGACTGTTGTATCGAGCTCGTATTTTGGTTCCGACGCCCGGTACAATTCTTATATATGGTTTAAGCGCTTTCTGTAAAATTTTGTTGAAAACGGACGTTGTTTGACGTGTTTCGGACTCGAAATGGAAATTTGATGCTTTATGAACATTTCAAAGAAAAACATGAGTTTTGAGGCTTGATTCGATGTATATGATGTTATTTTGGCGATTCGATCGCACGAATAAGTCCGTAGGATGTTTTGAGGTAGTGTGCATAATTGGTTTGGAGCTCCGAGGGCTCGGGTGAGTTTTGGATAGATGTCGAGTTGCATTTTGAACCTTTGAAAAGCTGGTATCTTTCAGTTCTGCAGGCTTCGCATTTGCGAAGCCAGCATTCGCAAATGCGAACTCGCAATTGCGAGCTTCTCATTGCAAATGCGATCTTCCACTTGAGGCAGCAATCATCGCAAATGCGAAGAAACTCATCGCAAATGCGATGCCTGCCTATGAGCCCAGTCTTCGCAAATGCGAACAATTGTTCGCAAATGCGATATTGGGCCTTCGCAAATGCGACGTAGTTTTCGCAAATGCGAACTTCCCAGCATTCTTTAGAGTTCGCAAATGCGAACAAAAATCTCGCAATTCCCAGACCTGCTGGGTTCGCAATTGCGAACCCATGTTCGCATTTCCCACATCTGAGGCCTGCATTTTTCATACTTAGACGAATTTTCAACCCATTTCTTCATCCTTTCAAACTCAAACACTCCATAGGCGATTTTCCAAGAAACTTATCTTCTCCAAATAATTTGTAAGTCAATTTTTACTTAACTTCTTCAATCTTTAACATCATTAAACATGTTTTCATCTTAAAATCAAGGATTTTCATGGGTGAAAATGGGCGGGATTTTGGGTAGAACTTAGGTTTTCTTAAAATTGGGGATTTGGACCTCAATTTGAGGTCCGATTTCAAAACTAATCATAGATATGAACTCGTGGGGGAATGGGTAACCGGGTTTTGGTTCGAACCTTGGATTTTGACCACGTGGTCCCGGGGGCGTTTTGGGAATTTTTGAGTAAAACTTTGGGAAATTCATTTTCATGCATTCAAATTGATTCGATTAGCATTTGTTGATACATTCAAGTAATTTGTGACTAGATTCGGGCGGTTTGGTGGTGAATTCGAAGGGTAAAGCTATACTAGAGGCTTGATTTGAGTTTGGAGCATTTGAGGTAAGTGTTTGGTCTAACCTTAGCTTGAGGGAATAGGAGTTGAGTCTTATTTGCTACTTGCCAATTGTCGAGTACGATGTATAGGCATGGTGACGAGTATCTACACATTGGTGTGTAGCATGACCGTGAGTCCTATATTGTGATTTTCATGACTTCGTTGTATTATTCATGCCTTGGCGAGTATTTCTATTTCTTGTGCAAAGTTGTGGAAGGAATCGTGGCTTATGAATGTTGAGGAGCGTTGGCTCCAGTTGTAGAACGAATTGCGAAAGTATAAGTGATAATTGAACCTCTAGAGCATTGGCTCGAGTTGTGAAGAGAATTGTGAAGTAAAAGTGAGAAAGAGAAGAGACCATCATGTTGCCCCCCCCCCCTTGGCGGGCTATTGTTGAGTTGTGGTTCCCTTGTACTGTGTTCTTAATTGAGTATTACAGACGCTTAGTTAATGCTTCCTTGCGTTGAGCGATGACTATAGTTATAGCTGAGGTAAAATGTTTGTCATAAGTTAGTTATAGTGAGGGTAGTTAAGTGTTGAAATAGTGTTGTATAGCTGAGGTAGTTAGTGTTGAGTAACAAGTTTGATATAGTTGTGTAGATAGGGTCGTTAACTGGATGATTTATATAGTTGTGGCCAATTAGATGTTGGGACCAGTGCGGTTATAATGTTTCCCCCTTGCCAGGATATTGATTTAATTGTGTTAAGTAGAAATTGAATGAGTTTGGTTATAGCTGGATCTCCCTTGCCGGGACGCTAGTCTATTATTGTTGATGCTCCCTTGCCGGATTTAAGCGTTATATGTATTCTCCCTTGCCAGGATATTTGGTTGTTAGTTGTACCTTGCCGGGTTAATCGTTATGTTGTTGAATTCCCTTAATGGGCCTCCTCTAGAAAGATTATATGTATTATGAAATTATGAAATGGGATCGTGTGGCACCGCGGCCACGAGATATTATGAAATGGGATCGTGTGCACGCGACCACGAGATATTATGAAGGGGATCGTGTGGCACGCCGGACACGGAGATATTATGAAATGGGATCGTGTGGCACGCCGACCACGCGACCACGAGATATTATGAAATGGGATCGTGTGGCACGCCGACCACGAATATTGATGAAGGGGATTAGTGTGGCACGCCAACCACGAGTTATTATGAAATGGGAAGTGTGGGCAGACGACCACGTATATTTATTGTTACATGGGAGCGTGTGGTACGCCTACCACGGTGATGTAAGAAATGGGATCGGTGACGCCTGCGATGATAGGAAAATTGAAATCAGTGAAAGTGGTTTTGTTCCCTTTTATTCTGTGTTAGAAAGAAATCAGATGTAGTTTCTCTTGTATTCCTGATATTCTTTTATCTGCTTCCCCATAAGCATGTTCCCCACTCTCGCTTTAAGTTGCTTACTTTCCGCTATTATTTGTTGTTACTTGTAAATATATATCTGCACAGGTTTATCGGGTAGTCTGGTCCTGCCTCGTCACTACTTCGCCGAGGTTAGGCTAGGCACTTTACCAGGCAGCATGGGTCGGTTGTGCTGATTGCTCACTCTGTGCATCTTTATTGCAAGATCACGGAGCGGAAGCAGCTTTGGACAGCAAGTAGTTTGATTGGGAGCTGGAATTCAGTCCGAGAGATTTCGAGGTAGCCTTGTTGACGTCCCATGGCCCGAGCTTTCTATCCTATGTCAATTCGTTTGTTATCCTTTGCACCGAACAACAGTATTGTTGTTTTTATTCAGTACCTTGTGTTTAGCAGTTTCTATAGATGTTCGTGAGTTAGTGACTCTGGTCTTGGGTAGAGGTTGTAATTGAATTTCCGCACTTGTTTTCAGTTTATTCATATTTAAAACTTCCGCTTTTATATTAAATGTCTCATTGCCTTAATATTGTCGATGTTTGCCTAAAAGGTTAATAATTAAATGGCTTGTCTAACTCCTAATAGTAGGCGCCATCACGACTCCCGACGGTGGGAAATCCGGGTCGTGACATTATCTGGTGTGTATCAGTGCATATTTGTGAAGTTATGTGAAGTCATACCTGATTGTTTAACATCTAAAAAGATATATACATATTTAGACTATAGGGACAGACATGTTGAGGCACAATTTGTTATAATATGTCAGTTAGCGAAATCTTTTTAATATGGTACGTAGAACAAGCACTTCAAATGAACATGTCATTTGATTTTCTACTCTAACAGCAGGATGCTATAGAGAAAGCAGGAAAGTTCTTATCTTTTTCAGTATGACTAGACAATGACTCTAGATGAATATGCTCATGGAATCGTCTTATAGAGGAAAGCTTTTCTATTTTATTTTATATAAAGTAAGACTTGGTCTTATTAGGAAAACTTTTGGAATAATGTACATGATTTTCCTATATGAGTGCATTAATGTGGTCTTCGATGCTTACCAAAATCTTAATTCCTTCATAGTAACTCTAATTAGGAGGTAACAACTCATTTACTGCAGTAATTGTGTAAAATAAAGATATTACTTGCACTTCACACAAAAAATATAAATTGGTTCGTAAGAAGATGGGCAGAAGAATGTCCCTTTTGATGATTATTAAGCATCGCCTAAGTAATTCACGTTATTTCTCAAATGCTTCTTGAAAGAATATGAAATCTTTAAATGAAATGGAGTAATAAATAATTTGTTTCTTATTTACTCAAGTCTGGACCCGGCTAATCAGGTCGCTCGGTTTATCACAAAAATCTTCAAGGAGAAACTGGATCATGAAGGACATAATTGGAAGTCTGTTACACCAGAGACAAAAGATTTCTATTGGGAAGAGTTTAAGGTAAAGTTATATTACTAATTATCATTTTAATAATGGACTTTGTACATTTTAAATTTCTGCTGTATCAATCTTGTGTTTCATCTGTTCTGTGCACATTCCAGAAAATACTGGTTTGGGGCTTCTGACATCTCTGATTTGATTAATACTAGGGTGGGTAGCCAAACAAAATCTAGTTAGTAGTCTCTGATTTGATTAATAGCTCATTCACGTTATCATGATTCTCCCACATTTCATCTACTGCTATTAATTCTATCGGAAGTAGACCGTTATCCATCTCTTACATCTTTGAGAAACCTTGTAATCATGATTAAGTCCTTATAGTTTGTCATATTTGTGCTTTTTTCTTTAGAATATCCTTCTTCTGAGTACATATGTGATACATTTATCAGAATTTCACGATACTTGAATTCCTCTCATTGCAATATTTTATTTTTGTTGCATAATTAGGGAAAAATAATCATAATCCTTATGTATAACAGTTTTTATAACGTCCAAGACTTCTTAGTTTTAGTACTTTTATGCTGCTATAAATACCTACACATCAGTAATGCAAGATAAAAGGATGAAAAATAGAAAACTTAATACCTTAATATTATGCTAGTTAGTTTCCCTTTCTGCCAAATGTACAAATGACATGAAGTAGCTATTGCATGAATTATTTTAAGATCTCACATTTCCTTCAACTTCCGGAATATACATATGTTGAATTGTATAGGTTATGGTGCAAGCATCGTCATTTATCAAGTACCTTGACAGAGCAATTCTAGGACTGCTATGTCCTGCGGCACCAGTGTCCGAGAAGAACTAGGGAAATTTATAATGACCACAACAATAAAGACAGAATAAGCATAAACTTTTGGTCCCATATGTTGATAATAATTGTGTCTGGCAAAGGTTTTTGCTATCTTGAGGGATCACAGTTTTTTCTTAGTATTTAGTTGGTGATCTCTGTTTTTAACTTGATTTTTAGATCAATATTTTTTTTCTTTAGCTAGGCTAGAAGATCCTTCTCATTCCTTTTAGATATTTGGAGCTATTCTTTTTTTTTCCAAATAAGATCGATAATATTTGGAGTTCCCTTTATCTTTCTTGAGCCGAGGATCTACTATACTGGGTAAGTTGTTGTTGTTGTTATCAATATCTTGTGTTATTTTTCATTTGATCTTCTCAAACAGAAACGATTTCAATGGGACACTGCAATTGAAGGTGCCATAAAGGATAAGTTTATGAGCAAATGTGCAGAACCATACAAGGGTATGTTATCTGAAGCAAGAGCTTGTGAGAAGAAGCGCAAACTTATTCCAGTATCTATTTGGGAGAGCTGGAAGCCTCACTGGGAGACTGAGGCTTTTAAAGCCAAGTCTGTGCAATGCTCAAGGAATCGACTAAGTGAAAAAGGTGGTGAAGGGTCTGGTCCCTCATGCCATACAGGAGGCTCCAGAGCTCACCGAGAACATGCAAGACTACTGGTATATTCATTTTTCTTTAGCCAAGTTAGAATATCTCCAAAGCTAGTGATTATATATTAATATAGTGAACTTGATTTTCAATTTTAGGCTAAAGAACTAGGAAGACCAGCTCATCCACATGAGCTTCTAAAGAAGACACATGTCAAGGCGAACAAGGAGTTTGTGGACCAGAAATCTAAGAGCACATACGTAAGTTACTATAGCTTGGCTATCATTTTTTGGCACGTAAAAGTAAAGCACCTATCTTGGTGATTACATATCTCCTATTACCAATTTTGAGTGAGTGATCAAAATTGGTCTTATAATTTGAACTAAGAAATGTGGAAACCTGTAACCTATAACAGTATAAACAAAATATAATATACACTAGCCATATGGATATAAATCGCATGAGCACCCACTGTCTCCAAATTTGATTCGCCATCTTCCAAGAGCTGGGCAGATCCTTGTAGCTCTTTAAATAATTTATTGACATCTTCATTATTTGGCTTGATAGCGCGGCACAAACTTTGAGCACTAATCGAAATGAAAACAGTACATCCTTCAGTTCACACGATATTCGTGCTTTTGTGTGATTCCTTGTTGATTTGTTGAAACTTATCTTGATATTCATTGCATCCTTTCATGTATTTTGTTAACTCCCCATATTTTGTAAATATCTTGTTAATCACCTCCCACATTTGAAACTTCGAGTTGTCCAGGTCTATAGCACAATGAGTTTCCTTTATGATTATATAGTGTACCTTCCTAGAATTTAGCCATGCCCAGTATAATATCAATGTATTATTCCCATGAATCACATCCTGGGAAACTATACATATGTAATACAGTGCATATGCCCTTCTGAGATCCCTCCAAATGTAGCTTCCAAAGTCAGTCAGGAGCGTGGCCAAAGAACTGGGCAGTGGCTTTCCTCTAAGATGCAGTAAATGTGAGTCCCTCTTTTCTTTATGAAAAAATGACAGAAACATAGCGGTTTGGACATGATTGTGTATTCTGAGCATATGCCTCTGAGATTGAGAGCACAGATAGTCCTAAGTATTTTTTATTTACACCATGGTTCCATGCTTATGCCTACTATCCGATACTCGTTTCATGGGAGTGAGTATCAAGTGCTAATATTACCCAATGAAATGGTATAAAATGGTAAGGCATGGATACAATAGTTTTCCCTGCAAAAAAGAACACAATGTTAATATAAACAAGACCCACCATGTTCTCCTTCCTAAGGATTTGAACAAGGCAGGTATGTATGGTTATCTCCCCCCTCCATTGTGTTCACCTTCTCCTCCCCTTTCAATCTCTTGCAACATCTTATCCTTAAGTATGGGCATTGAAGTTTATCGTTATTCACAATCCTTTTCCTTTACTGTCCAGTTGTGCAAAAGAATCACACTCCATAGGACTTACATCAAGAGCATTATTAGCTAAGTTATCAGCCAGTTTGTTGTCTCCGCGATACATATGTGTTATGATAGCGTTACACTCCTATAACAACTTCCTTATTTCCTCCACATGCTCTACAATTCCCCATGGTGTACTCCACCTTCCTTCAATGACATTTTTCAATAGCATAGAATCTGTTTGCACCCAAATAGGAGATAGCAACTGAGCTTTACAATACCTTAGTGCATGAAGGATAGCTACTGCCTCTGCTTCTGTGTTTGTAGTTTCATGAATCTCCTGCCCATGTACATAAATAATATCCTCTAATGCATCTCGTATACAATAACCAATTGAACTCTTGCCTGGGTTCCCTCTCGTAGCACCATCACTATTCAATTTAAGCCATCCTTCTCTAGGAAACTCCCAGATGAATTATAAATCTGCACATATAAGTTGTATAACATGTCACTGTTGAAAATTATTACTTCTTTATCTAAAAGTATAACAAATTAATGACGAACAAGTAATGCAATTTGTAGGGAAAAATTATCGTGTACATCAAAACAATTGTCTTTAAGGTGTTGTTATTGACATTTGAGTTTTCAATTTTGTTGCCTTTATGACTCTGTTCTTGATGTTTTCTCTTTCAAAAGTTATTATTATAGAGTTTATATCATTTTTTTGTTCAGGATGCCATAATGTCTAAAATTGCATCTGCGTCTCAGCCTGAAGATGGGTCCAGTGAGCCTCCTGAAGTTGATTACTTACAAATTTATTTGGAGGAAGTCGGTGTTAAGAAGACACGCATTTATGGTCTTGGTTCTCAAGCTCCTTTCTATGGGCATGTTGGTGCATCCTCTAGTTCGATATCTCCACTTCAAGATATAGACATTAATGCTCGGGTGAATGAATGTGTCGGGCATCTATTGCAAGAAATTAAGGAAGAGATAAAGCATGAGATGAGATCAGATATCAGAGAAGAGATTAGACAAGAAATGAGAGAAGAAATGCGAGAAGAACTGCGTGAAGAAATGAGACACGAAATGCAACAAGAGGTGCGTGAGCAAGTTGATCAACTACTCCAAAATCGTCTGTCGGTCCTCATAGGTGGCTTACCTAAACCGCCTTCTCGTAGACATGACTCGTCGTCAAATGACACGATTTAGATTTATTTTAGCTTCTTTTATGTTAGACACATCTTGGATTCTGCTTTCAACTTCATGGTAGATGTTATTATTATTTATAAAGTTCTAGTAGGTTTTTTGTTTTATTTAATATTTGTAATAGTTGGTAACACATTTACAATTTATTAGTAAACTTTACGACAAATTACTAACGTAAATTTTAAAAATAAATAACCATATTTGCTAACGAATTTGAAATTTACTTGTAAATTACCAACAATTTCTTAAACAGAACTTTTCCATAGATAAAATTACCAACCGATTGCCAATGTACTTTTAAAAATATACTATCGGATTTATCAACCAAGTTGGTGTCCATTAGTATAGTTGCTAACGGAATACAACCGAAAATTTTCTTGTTACTATATTTACCAACAATTTACATACACAATTTAAATAATGAAAAACCAAGTTTACTAATTCATTTTCTATCTGTTAGTAAAGTTACTAACAAACTTCCAACCGAATTTTGGTTAGTAAATTTACCAACGAAAATCTTGGACTCAAGATTCAAAAATTACCAACAAATTTATTTGGTGTTTACTAACTGATTTTTAGTTGGTAATTTTACCAACAAATTCAAACTGGTTGGTAAAATTTACCATCGAACCTTTTAGCAACGGATCAATATCCGTTGGTAATCTGTTAGTAACTCAAATTGCCAACCAATTTGATCAGTTTACCAACAATTTTTTTTGTTGGTAATTGGGGTTTTTTTTTGTAGTGAAAATTGTAAACGACAGAGATAAGATTGAGCTCAGACGAGCTCTAATGGCGAAAGGATCAGTAGTTCAACTGAGAGAGAGGAGAGAAGTGAGAAGCTTCGAGAAGCATGACTTGGGAAAATGTGAAATTGAATATTCACCTTACAGAGAATGTCCAAAGACCCTATATGTACACGTGACTTGTCTTGCCCACTCACTTGACAGCTGGCAACAGCTATACACTAACTAACAACAGCTAACAGCTATTAACCTCTAATATCTACCAACAAAACTAACTAACAAAGCTAACTATCAAAGGAAAGAAATAAATACAATACAATGTGTAACTACTAATACAGTGTTTAACTAATAACTAATCTCAATACCCCCCCTCAAGTTGGAAGGGAGGAATACGCTGCCTACTTGCTGAGTAGATCTGAATGTTTGATCCCAGTTAAGGACTTAGTGATGATGTCTGCGAGCTGCTCAGTGGTAGAAACGTGGTGTAAGGAGATCAATCCCTCTTGCAACTTGTTTCTAACAAAATGGCAACCAACTTCTATGTGTTTTGTGCGCTCATGAAACACTGGATTTCTGGCTATTTGCAAAGCTGCTTAGCTGTCACAAAAACACTGGAATGGGATGATTCATGGACACAGTTAGCTCTTCAAGGAGTGTAACCAACCAAACTAGCTCACCCACAATCTATCTAGCTGCTCTATATTCTGCTTCAGCTGAAGACAAAGAGATGGTGGACTGTTTCTTTGATTTCCAGCTGATGGGACTGTTTCCAAGTAGCACAATGTAGCCACTGACTGACTTTCTAGTTTCAGGGCATGCTGCCCAATCTGAGTCACAAAAGGCTCTTATTCCATAATCCTTGCTGTTGGAGAAGAAGATCCCCAGGCAATTGGGTCACCCTTTAGATATCTCAAGACATGATATGCAGCTTTCAGATGACTTTCTCTAGGTGACTGCATGTATTGATTGAGGTGGTGGACACTGTAGGATATGTCAAGTCTTGTATTTGTCAAGAAGTTCATCTTACCTACTAGTTTTCTGTAGTTGGAGGGGTCAATCAACAAAGGACTTTCATTTGCCTTTAGCTTTGTAGAAGGATCAAGAGGTGATGTTAGGCTGGAATATTGGGTGCATTCAAACTCTTTCAACAGATCTACAGTGAACTTCCTTTGAGATATTAACTCTCCATCTTCTTTGTAAAGCACTTCCATTCCTAAGAAGTAGTGTAACCTCCCTAAGTCTTTTATCTTGAAAGTTTCATGCAGGAAACTTTTCAAAGAATCAATCTCCTCCTGGTGAGTTCCTGTTACAATAACATCATCTACATATACAGCTACAAACACCACTAAGGGTCTCTTCTTTTTGTGAAACAAGGAGTAGTCTAACAGTGAGTGTGTGTATTCTTTGGAGCATAAAGCTGCAGCTAATTTCTCATACCATTGCCTGCTTGCTTGCTTGAGTCCATATAGAGACTTGTTCAATTTGCATACTAAACCTGGCTTATCCACTGCTAGCCCCTGAGGCACCTCCATGTACACTTCCTCATGGAGATCTCCATGAAGGAAGGCATTGTTGACATCTAATTAAAACATCTGCCAACCTTTCTTCACATCATTTCCTATTAGTGCTCTCACAGCTGTCATTTTTACAACAAGAGAGAATGTTTCTGTGTAATCTATCCCTGTTTTTTGTGTGTATCCTTTTACCACTAATCTAGCTTTAAACCTCTCAATACTACCATCAGACTTGTATTTTATTTTATACACCCATTTACACCCTATTGCACTTTTACCAACTGGTAATGGTACAAGACTCCATGTATTGTTTGCCATCAAGGCCTCAAACTCTAGATTCATGGCTGACTGCCATGCAGGGCTTACAACTGCCTCTTCAAAAGAAACAGGTTCACATTCATGTGAAATATTTCTTACCAATTGCTGACTGTCAGAATTTAACACATTAAGAGAGATATATTGTGCCTTAGGTACATAAGTGGCAAAGGAAAGAGAAGAATTGCTGTCACTTGAGAGATCAGACGATGGTGAGGATTGATTCTGTAGGTCATGTAGCTTAGGGAGAGAATAGTTATAGTCCTTTAAGTATGTAGGAATTTTGTGTGTTCTAGAGGGTCTAGTTTGTGTTGGGCCTAAAAGGCGTTCCTGTTGACTTGTAACACTTGGACTATTTATATTAGGTGGAGATTCTTGGTATTCATTGATAGGTGACATCTGTTCACTATGGTTGGACTCTATGAACTGTGTCATGTTAGAGCTGGACTGTGGTGAAAACTGCCTATGTGAAGGTTCAGGTGACACTACATTGTGATGTTGGTTTGACGGATTTGAAACTATTTCTCTGGGTGGAAAGAAGTCACAAGCTAAGTCTGTATTGACTTGAGGAAATCAAGGAAAAACTTTGTTTGACTTAGAGAGCAAGGTGAAGGGAAAGACATCGTCATGGTAAACTACATCTCTTGAAACATGGATCCTTTTTGTGACTAAATATAACACTTTGTAGCCCTTTGTCCCAAAGGGGTACCCACAAACACATGAGGCAGAGTTCTAGCTTCAAATTTGTCCTTATGAGTCTTAAGTGTAGTAGGGAAGCACATACAACCAAAACTCTTGAGGTGTGAATATGAGGGTTTTTTCATATAGAGTAGTTCAAGAGCGCATTTGCCTTTGAGAGAAGAAGAAGGTAGTATGTTTATTATGTAAGTGGAGGTAAGAATGCATTCTCCCCAATACTGTAAGGGTAGCTTTGATTGATACAATAGTGCCCTTGCTGCCTCCAGTAAGTACTTATGTTTTCTCTCCACTATCCCATTTTGTTGGGGTGTGTATGGACAGGTTCTTTGGTGAGTGACTCCCTAGGATTGAAAGAAAGAGGTGGTTTCCAAATTAATGAATTCAGTCCCATTGTCTGTCCTTATAGTTTTGACAGAGGTGTCAAATTGAGTTTTCACCATAGCAAAGAAAGCTTTTATGATTTGTAGAGTATTGCTCTTGCAACTCAACATATGTGTCCATGTGCACCTGCTGTAATCATCTACAAAGGTGATGAAATACTTGTGTCTATCATGAGTTGCAATGTGATATGGTCCCCATAAATCAACATGTAATATTTCAAAGATTTTAGCTGTAAGAGTGATTCTTTCTGGAAAAGGTAGTCTACCTTGTCTGGCCATTGGGCATATAGGGCAAAGGAAAGGTTGTGTAGGTATAAATCTGACAGGTATCTCATTGATCCCCTTCATTTTGGCAAACGGAACATGTCCTAGTCTATTGTGCCACAAAAGTTCAACCATGTTTTCATCAGATGTAGATGTAAAAGTAGAGACAGAGGTAGATACATTTGACTTAGGAACATTTTCTTTACTACTTGAAGATGAAGTATCAACACTGGAATGTTTATGTGAGTCAACACACTTCTTATTACAAGTATGATATGAAACAGGTAAACTAGATGCAATGTAAGGAACAAGATGTGAATGAGAGTGTGCATTATTCTTATCTGGTACACTAGATGAAACTCGAGTAGGGGTTAGAGTAGATGAAACATTCTTGCAGAGTTCTGAAATGTGATAGTATAGGCCATCAGAAGCCTTACCAATCTCCATAGGCCTCTTCTGTGAAGGGGCCTGCAGAAGAATACATGAAAACTTGGTAAAGATAACAAAGCAATCAAACTGAATTGTCAAACAATGGATAGATATTAGGTTGAACTTGAAACTGGGTGCAAAAAGAACTCTTTTGAGGATGAATTTAGGACTTAAAACCACATCACCTACTAGTGTCACCTTCACTTTATATCCATTAGGCAGTGTGACTAGGAAAGGGTAGACTAAGGTTTTGATATTAGTTAGAATGGATTTGTTGTATGTCATGTGATTTGTGGCCCCGGATCTAGTATCCAAGAGTTAGCATTTGGTTTAAAACATTCATATGAAGGAACACTAGAATCAGAAGAAGTAGAACAAGCTGAAATACCTGCAAAATTTACTACTCCAGCCTTCATTTCAGAATTGTCTTCTGTGCTTCTAGTCTGAAAATTCTCCAGAATACTGATTAGTTGATTATACTGCTCTTTAGTCAAGTTCTTCATCACTCGTCCTTCTTCTTGAGTCTGTGGCCTTTCCCCATCTCCTACGCCTGTGACCCTGTCACCACAATCTCCAAACACATTTGCAGCTACTCGCTTTCCCTTATTGAACTTAGGGTCTTGTGGATAACCATGGAGTTTGTAGCACCTATCTTTGGTGTGTCCTGGCTTCTTGCAATAATCACAGACTGGTCGTGGCCTATTTGTAGGGTAATTTCCTCTGAAGCCATTGCCTCCAGTCCCACCTGACTGGTTATAGTTTGAGTAGGAACTCCCTCCAGATCCATTACCTTGTTGACCATAAGTGGTTCTAAAATTGTTGGTTGCTGCCCTATTCACACTCAAGGCGCTAGAATCAACCATCGATTAATTGTTTGGCTTCATCTCCCTTTGTTTCTCCTCTTGGATGAGAATGGCAAAAGCTTGTGCTAGGGAAGGTAAGGGGTTCATTATCAGAATGCTTCCCCTAACAACAGTGTAAACTTCATTTAATCCCATCAAAAATTGAATCAACCTCCTATCCTATTCAGCCTTATGCATACTCGCCTTGGCACAACACGTGCACTGGCATTTGCATTGAGCATGGGCATTCAGGGTATTCAACTCTTCCCATAGCTTCTTCATTTTAGTGTAGTATCCAGTAATGTCGAGTGTTCCTTGGTTCAAATCATTGATTTCTTTCTGCAGTTGATACAATTTTGCCCCATTGGTTTGATCATACCTGTCCTCCAATTCTTCCCAAAGTTCTTTGGCATCGTTTACATACTGCATGCTATCTGCTAAGTCCTTCGATAGAGAATTAAAAATCCACGAAGTCACTACATTATCACATCGTTCCCATTGATCGAATGCAGGATCCTTTGAGTCTGGTTTCCCACATTTACAATTTATGAAGCCTACTTTGTTCTTCATAGAAAGAGCCCTAAGCACTCCACGTCTCCATGATCTGTATCCCGATCTATCAAAAACTACTAGTACAAGCATGGAACCTGCGTTTTCGGATGGATGCATGTAAAGCGGATTAGTTGAATCGAGCAGCGGATTGGTGGAGTTTGAAGTGTTTTCTTCAATCGCCATGACTTTAATCGATGTGTGTGTGTAGAAGAACCTCAATTACTGAATTTCAAGGCCGATCTCAACTTTAGGGCTAACCTCAGATCTTAACTGAAACAACACTAAAATTAGGTCTTTCCGGATCAAAGAGAAACGAAATTGAGCTAGGGATTAGAACCTCCGCTCTGATACCATGACAATATTGTAAACGACAGAGATAAGATTGAGCTCAGATGAGCTCTAATGGCGGAAGGATCCGTAGTTCAACTGAGAGAGAGGAGAGAAGTGAGAAGCTTCGAGAAGCCTGACTTGGGAAAATGTGAAATTGAATATTCACCTTACAGAGAATGTCCAAAGACCCTATATGTACACGTGACTTGTCTTGCCCACTCACTTGACAGCTGGCAACAGCTGTACACTAACTAACAATAGCTAACATCTATTAACCTCTAATATCTACCAACAAAACTAACTAACGAAGCTAACTATCAAAGGAAAGAAATAAATACAATACAATGTGTAGCCCCCTACTAATACAGTGTGTAACTAATAACTAATCTCAATACTTGAATTGTTCACTGTGTAAATTCCAAAGTCCTCATTTTATTTTTTGTATTTAAGTGTTTGAATATAAACTTATACTTAGCACGCACGGATTTTCTCTATTATATATCTATATAAGAATTTGGTGACTTTGATACTTTTATTCTCAAAGCACTAATAGAGAAGGATCTCTCCAATATTAGTTTCTTGTAATATAACTTAGAATTATGTAATATATGTAACATGATATGATGTGTACTAGTATAATATAATCTTGACACATGAGGCGAAGTGTTAGACCACTTCAAAGCATATATTCTATTATGACATCAGACTTTTTCCACTCATAAAACTTTAGACCTATGGACTTATGTTAGTAATATATTCTATGATCTCTAAACTTTGGCTTTTCTATTAATTTGGTGACTGCCGTCCGGTCATGCATGGACCAAGTGATATACCACGTCTAGGCATAATTGTGTTTGAGGTATTTCTTGCTGGAGTAAGTATGATAGCGACATTCTTGTACCCGGTACTTGTGAATTGTGATCATAGGAGTAGGGATGGCAATGGGGCGGTGCGGGGGCGGGGCGGGGCGGTTTTCAGCATTCGCGGGTCGGGTGGGTTACAGCGTTTGCGGGGGCGGGGCGGGGGGGCGGGTTCTAATTTCTTTTTAAAGAATTAATGCGGGGCGGGGCGGGGCGCGGGTCAAGATTTTTATTTTTTGAACTAAAACCGTATATAGGATTGTAATTTACAAGCATTTTTCCTTTTCCTTTTTCTGCATAATTTTTTTTTTGTTCAAGTCCTATATCTTCACAAATTAAAAAAGAAA